ACTGGGGATCTCTGAAGCGATGCTTGCCACTAACTGCAGCATCCCTTTCTCCACCGATTTCAGCATGCTTTGTGAGTCTGTTACAGTAACAACATGTGTGTGCAGTTGGTTCTCAAGCTAACGAAAAGCTGCTGTGGCTGTCTTTACCTCCATTCTCAAAAAAGATGTTGTAGTATCATATCCTAGGGTTTGTGATATTATGAGACACCCATTCACATTTTTAACGTACCCCTATGCACTTTTTTTCTGCTTCTCAACACGATCCATATTACATGGGGGAGAATTGTCAATTTCTGAATCTGCAGCACCTACTGGCCGTTCCCTGCCCAATGCGATTGGAATCCTACACAAGTTTGCTGTGTGCCCTAACACCGTTGACACCACCTCAACCCCTTCCCTCCCCAAGTTGCATTTATCTACATCTCACCTCATACACTGTAGTTTATGGCACTTATAACAATGGCAAAATCAGCATGAAAGTGGCCTGCTATTAAATCATCTGCAGCTGACTTTGATCCCAAGTATATCGCAATTGTGAAACTGCATTCACAACTATTAAGCCAGAGATGCTGACAAAGTAGGAAAACATCTTCAAAATTTAATCCAGGGAAAACATGTTTGTAAAGCAATGTTTGATAATTTCAGTTTTCTGGCATTATGCATGTCTGTGATATAATTGCATAAGCAGACTGCAGTATCTTTTCCCTTTGCCCTATATCCCTCAATGGAGTGCAGGCTCTCAGCAAACTGAGACCATATTATCCTATCCTTTATTCTGCAGTATCTTTTCCCTCTGCCCTATATCCCTCAATGGAGTGCAGGCTCTCAGCAAACTGAGACCATATTATCCTATCCTTTATTCTGCAGTATCTTTTCCCTCTGCCCTATATCCCTCAATGGAGTGCAGGCTCTCAGCAAACTGAGACCATATTATCCTATCCTTTATTCTGCAGTATCTTTTCCCTCTGCCCTATATCCCTCAATGGAGCGCAGGCTCTCAGCAAACTGAGACCATATTATCCTATCCTTTATTCTGCAGTATAGTAAAGCACAAAAGCAGTGATAGAATACAAAGTTTCAAGCCCAAACAATAACGTTAGAAAAACAAATGCTTGTGTTCTCCAAAAAGCAGAACGAAATCAGTCAACCTGAAAATGAATTAAAAAAATATATATATTTAACAAAAAGTTAAATTGTCAGCAAACTTTATTTTAAAATTGTTAAAACATCATTTTTGGTGGGAGATATACTTAATCTTTATATTTTATTTATCAAACACAATAGTTTGCTGAACTGACACGTCAAGCTACTGGCAAAAATACTTGTGCTATCTGTACATATTAATTTAATAAAAACAACAGTAAAAAGAGTACAAATTAAATGTGATGTCAAAACTGTGAATGTTCATTTGCCTAAAGGAAGATTCTACATACTGGGTGAACAAAGTTAATATGTAGGAATACCAAAGATGATCAAGTATGTCAATCAGAGGCAACACAATTAAAACTTGAAAACATCTTGTGTGTATTTGTGTACAAAGGCCCAGGATTATGGGGGCTTTACAGGCTGGGTGTTGAAGACATAAGTAAATTTGAAAAAAAAAAGAAAAAAGTAAAGGACCCTTTTCCACGCCTTTAGGCGTAAAGGGCATATAGGGCTAGACCTATATTTTATAGACTAATCAGCACAGGATTATGGGGGCTTTACAGGCTGGGTGATGAAGACATAAGTAAATTTGAAAAAAAAAAAGAAAAAAGTAAAGGACCCTTTTCCACGCCTTTAGGCGTAAAGGGCATATAGGGCTAGACCTATATATTTTATAGACTAATCAGCACAAGATGGGTGATGTGGTCAGCATCGGCTGCCTTCACTTCACGGGACTGCACCCGGTACCCACTTAAGGCTGGGTTGACCTGGGAGCCAAAGTCATTTTTTGAAGGAACAAAAGTCAGGCTCTGCCAGGACATGAACCCATGACCTTTCGAACTGCACACAAGTGTCTAGCTGCTACGCCACAGCGACTCCCTCTAAAGAAGGTGGTCTAGGCCAAAACATTTTTCTCTACTCTGATATGCCCTGCACTCTTACATTAAACAGAAATAATAAACTCCAGCACATTTCAAGTTGTAGCTAAACAGTTCAGTGTAAAGACAGGCACACACAGATCAATCAATTAATCAATCAATTATGCACTGTATCCACACTGAAGAGTGGATACCACGGATCTTTACTGCCCTCTGTCTCTGTCTAGTCTTGACTGTACAATCCCTCAAGCTGCTGTTCCTGATGTTGTCTTCCCATTTGTACCATTGTTGACCTCTTGTTTTCTCACCTTTGACTTTTCCCTCTAGTATGGTTTATAAAAGAGTGTTCAGGCTTTTAATGTGTCCACAATATTTCAATTGTCTCTTCTTTTTTTTTCAGCAACTATACATTACCAGTCTCTTCAGAACCTCTACATTTGATTCAAGCAGACTTTAAAAAAAAATGCTTTCTAAAAAATAATACAAGAATAATTCAGTGTAAAACTAAAACAAAAAACAATCAAACAAAACAGTCGGCAATATTATGAATAAAACAACACTGAGTTTCAGAAAGAAGACTACGCAGCAATGGCGCTCCACATTCTTGTTTCCTGAACTCTTGTGTGCATGTGTGCATGCGTGAGTGTGACTGTGTGCGTGCTTGCATGCTGCACCTCCTAATTATAATTTCTTCTTCTTCTTTGCGTTCGGTTTCATATGCTCAGATCAGACCATCAGGTGGGTCGCCTCTTAGTTTGCTCAGGTGTCTTTTTAAAGTTTTAGGTAGAGTGGACAGGTCTGCAGAATGTGCTCAGGTATTTGTAGTCCTGTTTGACAGGCACACTGTGGGGACTGAACAATCTTTTTTTTTTTTTTTTGAGCCTGCAGTGTCCTGTTTGTAGACGGAAAATTGTTGTATGTTGCTTTCTGTTGAGTTTACTGATTGGGTCTTGTGGATGTTTACTGTTTGTTCTCTCCACAATTCCTTATATTTTCCATTGATTAAGTGTTTTGATTTCTGGTAATGACAATGGATGGGTGTGTTGTTTCTCCTTAGTTCCATTTTTGCCAAGTCTGTCTGCTAACTCATTTCCTAGTATGTCGTAGTGAGCCGGGATCCACTGAAGAACGATTTGTTTTCTGCAAGTCTGTTTATTTAGCTCACAGGTCAGTTCTCTCTCTATGCTGTCTCAAGGATCCTTAATTATAATTTGTGTTTATTCATTCCCCATTTCAATAAATAAACATATAAAATGGACAAGTCAAAACCAGTTAAACATGAGCTGTTTTGAAAGCAGACACAAATACAGTTTAAACAATTATTTCAGTGAACAATGTCTAGATAGTTCAACAAGGGGGGAGAAGAAAAAAAAACAGGGAGGAAAAAAAACCAATCTAATGATTTGACAGAAACCTTTATGTCAATGAGCAACAGAACAAGAGCAAGAATCCAAGACCCAGAGACCAGTCTCTCCTCCCCCACCCATGAAATGAGTCACACAACTTCCCTGTGTCAATGAATCAGACATGTGCCATCTCCATAATGAAGGTTGGCTGAAATGGATCACCATTTCTGTCTCCTGTCTTGATAGCACACTCTTTTAGTCTGGTGTTTGTCCATCTTGTGATTGTGTCCTCTGAAACGGATCTCCAACATTTCTGTCTCCTGTCTTGGTAGCACACTCTTTTAGTCTGGTGTTTGTCCATCTTGTGATTGTGTCCTCTGAAACGGATCTCCAACATTTCTGTCTCCTGTCTTGGTAGCACACTCTTTTAGTCTGGTGTTTGTCCATCTTGTGATTGTGTCCTCTGAAACGGATCTCCAACATTTTTATCTGCTTTCTTAGTAGCACACTTTTTCAGTCTGGTGTTTGTCCATCTCGTGATAGTGTCCTCCCACTTGATCTCATGCCTTTAACAGTTCCCTCCGGTATAGTTTTTTTTACAACAGTCTTACATCTTTCAATGTGGCCAAAATATTTTCAGTTGCATCTTTTAAATTTCTTTCAGTAACTCCCTTTTTATTCGCAGTATCTTTAGAACCTCTGTTTTAGATTACTTTTGTTTCCATGAATTACGACCTATTCTTCTGTATATTCACATTTCCAGAGACTCAATTTGATTTTTTAGATGCTTGTTCATGGTCCAGGTTTCTGCATTTTACAGCATGATAATTCTAATTTTCATGTGTGGTTTATCTCTGTAGCTGTCGATAATTTTTGCATCTTACTGAAGATGGTTTTAGCCATTCCTATACTCTTTTTGATTTCTGTTTCACTTCTGCCATCATCTGTTCCTGCGTGTCCACGACAGGGAAAATGCTAGTTTTAATATCTCTGTTTACTGTGATCTTCACTGTTGGTCACTTCTTTCCGCTGTTAATTATTATAGGTTTAGTTTTTTCAAATGTTAATGTCTAAACCATACTCTGCAATCTGCCTGCTGACTTGATCCACTAGATCCTGGCCCACAGAGAACTAGCAAGAGGGCTACGGATCATTGACAAATGTAGTGTATTAATGATCTTTATATGGTGGGGATCCGGCCTCTGACCCAAGATGATCCCCATTTTTCAACCCTTTGGCCCCTGAGAAAACATACTTGAATGGACCCGCACCAGATCTTATAACTCCTGCTCACTGTCTGCTAGTAACATAGTGTCATCAACATATCTCACATTCCCTGTGTAGGGACTGGTGTCTAGGATTGTTCTACTTCTTGTGGTGCTTACTGACAATGACTTTAGTCTACATATTCAACTGATGCTGTAGTGTTCTTTCCTTCCTTTCCTCTAGTTTCCTAGACAATGTTCAATTAATTAATTTTTGATAAATAGTTTTAGGCAATCACCCCTATTTTCAGCATTCAGCATTTGCTCACTATCAGATTTAACTGTGGAAGTCTACAAATTCACTATAACTGTGATTGTATTACAATATATCCACTATATGGGGGTATCTGAAAACTGTTAAAGTCTTAAGTTACATCATTATCAACGACTTCAGTGACTTCAATGATTTCAGTGACTTCACTATCAATGACTTCAGTGACTTTACCGCCACTGACAATTCTGCGACCTTTATCAACAAACTCCTCAAGTTTCTTGAGCCACGGAGATAGGAATTCTCCTTTCCATTCTTCCTTGACCCCGGAGACAAAGACATCTGGAAATGCTGCATCCAGCCTCTCCTCTAGGATCTGGAGTGAGTCTAAAAGGCTGTTGAAGACAATTATATTCATCTGTCAGTGTTCTTACACTGTAGTGTGTGAGTGTGCGTGAGAGAGAGAGAGAGAGAGAGAGAGAGAGAGAGAGTGAGTGAGAGAGTGGAGTGAGAGAGTGGAGTGAGTGTGTGTGTGTGAGTGAGTGTGTGCGTGCATGCGTGTGTGTGTGTGTTTGAAGGCTTCAGCATACGTGGCTTGGGCATTGCATTCATAAATCCAATGTACCCGGTTTGATTCCAGCTGCACGGTAACTGACAGCAGACTACCTTGTATTGATTTCAACATGGGTATCATGAGCTGCCCACACAGACAGCAGTTGCAACCTACTAAATGTAAAATTGCCTGTAAAACTAAAACAGCCAACAAATGCCAAGGGTGGTTCTGCACCGTCCTGTAAAGGATAGGCAACTAACTTATGCATCTAAAGCTAACACTGAAATATCTGGTTGTGTGCAAACATAAGGAGCTGCTGTAAATGAAGCCAGAAAATATGAAGTTTCGTTCTTTGGTGAATTTTTCTGAGAAGACCATACCCTTGCTTGTGAGTCCCAGACTGATGATAGAGGTGACAATTAGACTAATTTCATCTGTCAGTTTTAGAAGGGGGACAAAAGTATTTATTAGACGTCTGATCTGTCAGTTCTTGAGAGGAAATGGACATGGTTGATTAGACCAATAGGTGGTTGATTAGACCAATACATTCTATTTTGTAATGGAGAAAGCATGCTTTGAAAAACTGAAACTGGTGTCCTACCAACAATGTGGCTTGCATCACTTGAAAAGACTTGGATCACGAGCACATCCTGGATTTTCTGGCCAGGATATTCAGGTGTGCAAAGCAATGAGCGGGCTGAGAGATTAGCTGCTACTGCCCATCTGGGTGGTGAGCTACTTTAAAGTAATGTGGACGTGGAGAAGGCTCTCTAGGATCAAAATAGTAGTTTAATAGAACAGACAGTGAATCCATATAATGAAAGACTAATTCAACAGATGTGGATGTGGAAAGCAAGGGGCAACTACCATATTACTATCCCAAGAAACTCATCATGGAAGCCAAAAACGAAACTCAGTTCTTAAGAAAGAGAACAGGGGCTTTTGAGCTGAAGTGCTATAGAAAGATTCTCAGAATATCTTGGACAAAGAAGAGGAGAAATACTGACATCTTGAAAGATCTGAGCATCAAGGAAGATTGGCTAATAAACAGCATCCTGTCTAAGAAGCTGAAATATTTTGGTCATATTAAGTGCCACAACGGATTGGAAAAAATAACAGCAGAAGGCATGGTACCAGGAAGGAGGGGCAGGGGCTAACCAACATGAATATGGACACAGGATATAAATGACTCTTGAGTATGAAAGTACATGAGGCGCGAGAGATCGAGTTTCTTTCAGGCAAACTGTGATGAGAGCGATGTTCTGCAAAGTACCTGCTACATGATGATGAATCAAACAGCACAGCTGAGTAGAGGTTCTAGAAGACATTCATCACTGAGGGGGAAACAGAGTGAGACTTTTAATCAGATTGCAGTACCATTAGCATGTCAACTCTTCACTGATTACTGGAGAAGGAAACAGAGCATGTGTGGGGCTGACTGATTAATTAATTGATTCATTCTATTCTATTCTGTGAGTTCCTGAGTGGATACGGAGGTGTTTTGTTAGACCAATCTGATGTTTCAGTCTTTGCCTGGGATTAGTGTGTGTGTATATTTATGTGTATTTTGAGGTGCATATGACTCACACATATAGATTGTAACTACATATCCAGTAGTGTACAATCTCCTTTCTGCTTTAAAGTTACAAAATTACAAATATCAAAACCGCGACCAATAATTACTGTCATCAGCTGGCAATGCTATGGTCAGATAAAGTAATGGTAAGCCCAAGAAACAGCAAATAGAGCTAGTGAATTGGAAATACCAGAGCTTTTCGAAAATACCAAAGAAGCGATTGAGATAAAGCAAAGACAAAAAGTAAATACCCTTTTCATTGTCATAGCACTCTGGACAGATCTGGAGTAGTATTAAATTTTACCCCAACAGGACATCACAAAGAGCGATAAACACCTGATTCCACCATGTGGATGAGGATCACCCATGGAGAGGTCCCGGAAACTGCGCTCAATGGTCAGGCTATATTGCGGCCCCTGGCAAGAGCCAGGGTGGGGCTTCAAAATAACGAAAAATTGTTTCCCACAAGGGTATGACGATAGATCTGGAGTAGTTCCGATCTCCTCTTTAATAGCTTCACAAGCTAACAATGACTACTGATCATGCTGGTTCTGTGTTTACTGATCAAATGTATTTTGCCCTTAGTTATGATCACGAATGATAGCTTGTATCCCTGTATTTAATAGCCTGGGTAGGGAGTCATATTTACAGCACATATTCTGAAGTTGTATGTATCCAAGGAAAGACACAAATACTATAGAATTACTGGAATATCCTGTTGTGGAAGAAACAGAAATAATAATAAATGATAACATAGATACAATTTTCTTTTTTGGCTCTAAAGCTCGGAGCCAAACTCCCCAAAAATAAATAAAATGAAGCTTTACTACCCTTTTTTAAGAACATAGTCTCAGGCCTAATCTTTGGACCTCCACATGAAGCAGTTTCTTTCCAGAACGTCGCTCTCGTCACGGTCTGCCTGAAAGAAACTCTGTCTCTAACCAGCTCTCCTGCCTCCTGTACTTTCATATTCAAGGTGTCATATCCTGTACCCATCTTCGTATTGGTCTTTGGACCACACACAGATAAAAACAGCGGGGAACCCATGATGACCAGCGACAACAAAATTTAGAATAGCAAATAAAAGAGAGACAAACACCGTGATCACAAAAGAGCTCAATGGAAACAGACCATCAGCAAAGCTACAAAGATTCAGGGTCACAAACTCAAAGGAGAAGACCAAACACAGAGATAATGGAGGCAGGTGATATCTACAGTAATCTTCTTCTCCTTGTTCACACTCATCGGCTGTAAACTCTGCCAGAAAGTTCTGGTTGTTCATCCACCTCTGGACCCTAGTCCTGTTCCAGAAACTGAGTGTTACGTGCATATCCGTTTCACAGGTCTGACTCATTTGCATGCAGACGGTTGTTTCCTTGCCTCTCAGGCAGATGTACTCAATTAGTCGACTCTTATGCCCTACTTTGGGGTAGGCAGTTGGCCTATTCTTGTTTTCCTGGAACCCACATGGGGAATCTGCAGAAATGAATCTTAAGGTCTCAGACTGCTGAAGAAAAATAAAAAGGTGATATTCTGGACAAGCTTACCTGATACCTCTGTTCAACAATGGTTCCACATGCGCAGGGTTGATAAATCCCCGCTCCACATTATAATCATTCATCCAGGCAGCCATGCTGAGGGCAAGGAAACACAGGTTAGCCAGGGTCAAATAAAGGTGAAGGTCAGCTAGGGTGTTAGTTCATGAACACTGCCAGTACCAGAACAGTTGGCAGGAAATGTAAAACACTGACACAGATAACAGAATTTACCAAAAATAAAAATTAATGTATAGGTAAAAGGTAAAGTCAGGAGATGTAAACCAACGTCATTGCACACGGTTATGAACTATAAGTGCTCTGCCACCAGTACAAACAGCTGATAAGAAACTGTCTCCTGTGTCACTGTCCACACGAAGCTCCGTAGCTACAGCGACGTTCCTCTATTTACCCCAGAGGGAACTCTGGTACCCATTTCCTAGAGGTTGGGTGAACCCCGGGAATGGCCCGGTTTCGAACACCGGCCGTGGGCTGCAGCAAGTCGCAGCTGGATTCAAAAGCAAGTCTCCTATTGACTGCGCTAATGCGGCCCCGTATGTACAGGGAGCGGCTATGGTGTATCCACTGAATGCTCACCTGCAGATCCTAAAGTCATGGGTTCAAATCAGCACGAGCCAGATTTTTTCACACATGACCTTGACTTCCAGGTTGACAAATTTAAGTGGGCACCAGGTAAAGCCCTGGGAAGTAAAGTCAGCCAGCATGATGCTGACCATATCACCCATTAAAAATATGAGTCTAACTTCATAGGTCCAACATGCAGGCTTTTGATGATAATGAAGATTAAATTTTAAAATTATTATGCACTAACTCTTTGAGTTTGAGCTGAAATGCTATAGAAAGATGCTTGGAATATCTAGGACAAAGAAGATGAGAAATATTGACATCTTAAAAGATCTGAACATCAAGGAAGATTGGCTAATAAACAGCATCCTATCTCGAAAGCTGAAATATTTTGGTCATATCAAGCGCCACGACGGACTGGAAAAAATAATAGCAGAAGGCATGGTACCAGGAAGGAGGGGCAGGGGCCACCGACAAGAAGATGGGCACAGGAGTTTCTTTCAGGCAGACTGTGATGAGAGCGACGTTCTGCATAGGACCTGCTACATGATGATGAACTCTTTGAGTCCCAGGGGGTTTAGCATCAGAGATCCAAGAGGCAGTCAAGAAAGACATGGAGAAGGGAGCTGGAGAATGAAGTTAGAAAGATGGGGTGGGGGGGGGGGTGGGGGGGGACACGGGGAGAGCTGCAAGCGACAGCAAAGGATAGAACGACCAGGCATAAGTTGGTTGAGGGCCTATGCTGCATAGAGGGTCTAGAAAGGCAGAAGAAGAAGAATCTCCTTTACAAAAAAATTGTAAATAATGAAAAATGGACACACTAAATTTTCCAAAACTAAAACAAACTGTAATTCCAAAAGCTATCTCCTTTATGGAGAAGGGAGCTGAAGAATAAAGTAGGAACCTACAAACTTAGGATGCATTCCTTGGGACTCAAAGAGTTTTTTTTTTTTTTAATTTGTATGAAATATTTTGTCTTCAAATGGAATGAGAACATGTGTTTCCCAAAAACCAGTGCTGCCACCTATCCAGAATTGCACAAATGAGCCTACTTACCTATCTAACATAAAGAACTCCTTGCAGACTGCTTCTTTATGTACAAACTCAATCATCAGTTGATAGACAAGGGACCCAGGGAAGTTACAAATGGCAATGTCAGCACTGGAAATAATAAAAGTACAAGACCATTTTAGAAACAGGTTATTTTCATATTTTACGTGACCCAACAGCACATCTCTTCATCAACAAATTATTCACTAAATGATACACAAAATCAAAGATAAGGATGTTAACATTATAGATAATAAAGCATAAAGGGACTACGAATGAAAACCTTAAAAGTAACAGAAACCATGCCACTGTCTTGTAACCTGTCAACACTGCTGTTAAAGATGTCAAGAATGTTAAGCACATGATATCACAGTGCAGATGGACATGGTGACATCATAATAAAGATTAAAGAGGAGCAGTGTTCTGTTATCCAGTTCTTGATCAGTGAGTAGGTGAAACCTCTAGAAATTCAACATCGGCGAATGAAAGTTCAGTTTGGTGATGCATGCTTGTCAGTCCTGCAAATGTGTGGTTGGACTAGGACGCTTTTAAACAGCAGTATTTCTGGGACAGACTCTTCACAAATGGGTCAGGCAAAGCGAGTAGCTACCCCAGAGTCTACTGCAGCTGCTGAATGGCTTGCATAGGAAAAACCACCAACTGACTGTGAATGATACTGCCACACATTTTGACATCAGTCAGGGTTCAGCACACCACATTATCCATGAAATGCTACAGTACCGCAAAGGGTCTACAAAGTAGGTGCCACCGCAGCCTCAAAACTGAACATTGATGCCTGTCAAGAACTTCTGCTGTGGTTTCCTATCAAAAACTGTTATTGGGAATGAAACATGCTCCACTACTACAAGTCAGAAACAAAGACAACCAGCAAGGAATGGTGTCATCCCTCTTCACCAAAACCAAAGAAGTCTCACTCGTAGCCATCTCTGTAGGGAAGGTTATGCTGACTCTCTTTTGGGATGAGCGCTATTTTCAAGTGCTACATGCCAAGAGGAAAAGAAAACTGTCACGAGTGATGTGTAGGCAGACCTTCTCAGGAACCATCTTCAACTAGCAATCAAATGCAAATGATGCAGTCTTCTGAGTAAAGATGTCCTTTGGCAACATTACATTGCTTGACCCCATATTGTTAGTGAAACAGCTGAAACCATCGAAGACCTCCACTTTCAATGTATACTACATTCCCCATACTCACAAGACCTAGCTTCAAGCGATTTCCACCTGTTTGGACAACTCAGAGAGTTATTGGGAGGACAAATTTTTTTGGGTCCAATGAAAAATTACTGCAGCTGATGCATGAATAGTTTACACATGTGACCAAGCAAAATTGTTTTCCTGCAGAAATCCAAGCACTTAATATGTGCTGGAAGACTTGCACTGAACACGCAGCCTTTACTTCCCATGACTTTTACCTGGTACCCATTTAAGAATGGGTCAACCTGGGAGGCAAGGACATTTATATTCAAAACAAATATTTAAAAAAAAGTCCAGCACCGCACAGATTTGAACCCATGACCTGTGTAGGTTAGGATTTTATATTTTTGTCCCCTTAACGAAAATATTTGCATCAGCTACCAAGGATTCAAATCTAAATCTCCTGTATGACAGTAAAAAAAAATAAAGTAAAGAAAAAAGCAAAGACCCCTTTTCCAAGCATTTAGACGTACAGGGCATATAGGGCTAGACCTACATTTTTATAGACCAATCGGTTGAGTGATGTGGTCAGCATCATGCCGCCACCCTTTACTTCCCCAGACTGCACCCGGTACCCACTCAAGGCTAGGTCGACCTAGGAGTCAAGATTATTTTTGAAACAAGTCTGGCTCCACCAGGGAGCGAACCCACAACCTTTCAATCCGCACACGAGCATCTAGCCGCTACGCCACGGCGACACCCTCCTGTATGACAGCCTGATGTTTTACCCACTTAGCAAGCCGCTCCTCTAATCAACTAGTTTATGTTAAGTCCCAACACTCAACCACCTGAAAGCAATATTTAACCACATGATTACACGGTGAAGCTGTTTGACTCATGCTTTGCGTTCATGTCAAAGGTGCACCGATCGGTTCATCAGCGCTATTTTTTAGGGAGATTCCTGGAAATCATCACCGGAGCTATGGTGTTTGTGCGATGCTATTGGCAGGCTGCTAGCCGTACTGCAGAGAAAGACACAGCCATACTGGCAATGAAGTCGATCATCTTGACTTAACCCTACTCTCATGTTCTAAGTTATATCACTAACCTGGTATAGGGGTATCAGTATGGATAGTAGGAAATATCAGAGAATATGAAGGTGTTCTGGTGTTTCAGAACATATAGTCTACCAGACGCCGAGTGGTCAATAAAATAATGTAATCATCTAATCCATTAATCTATACCTTCTTCTGAGCATTTACAGCGGGTGATAGTTCTGGCTGTTCGTCCACTTCTGGTCTTTTCCCAGGACTTGAGTGTTGCACGCACATCTGTTTTACAGATCTGGCTTATCTGTATGCAGACTGTTGATTCCTTGCCTCTCAGGCAGATACACTCTGACTTTGAGGGAAGCACCCATAATTAGTCGATGCCTGTTAAGGGGCAGGGGTAAATTCTTATGTTCCCAAAAATGAGGCCCTGAATACATACGGGGATCAACATATATAAAGTTATAGCTGTTGCCTGAAAGCAGTGCTTAATCATGATATTACCATTATGCTCTAGCATAAACTAAAATGAGACTCACCTGGCAAATGGGTTGATGGGTATAAGTGTGGCAAATTTCATATCTCTGGCTACAGCATCAAAGTCAACAGGTGACAGCACACCTAGATAAAACAAGTGACACATGAATTACTAGTACTGATTCAATCAGACATGTGAAAAGTCAGAAAAGTATATCAAATTAAACTTTATGCAGAATTTAAATGACACAGACATAAACTGACATACACAATACTGTCGGAGACCTACTTTATAATCTACTTACTCGGGCTCGTTGGGTAGGCCAGCTAAAAGACTTAACTACCCTATAACACACTTAAAACACCTATTTTTACCGATTGAGTACAAACATAATCTTTAATGTACAAAGAACAATTCAACCTAAAGCAAGCCTCAACGGAATGAGCGCTCCCTGATCCGAAACGCCGATGGTGATAGCTTTTATATTCACTAATCCACCCCGAGCCGTTTCCATGGATAACCCAAGGACTCGATTCCACCTCACTGTCGTACAGCGCCAACTAAGCTGCCGTCCTTGCCACACAAGACTCAGTGGCACACATAAGGTGAGTGATCTAAGTATGAGTGGGCAGTGTTAACGCTACTAACAATGCATGTCAACATTAACTACCTGCTTAACAGATGTTGCGTGAAAACTACTACTACGCGAGAAACATTACAAATGAACAATCTTGCCAGAACACCGTATGGAAGCACAACATATCAAAAGCCAAACCACAAAAACTATTCTTGCTAATCGACACTAATATAAACTACGCTAAGCATTTCTCATAGAAGATGCATTTACAGTCGCGGTACTACAACCGTCCAGTCCAGGTCCTACACACTTGTCTCTCCCGAACAAGCACTGTCCAAGCCTTTTGTTCCTCTCCAGCGCTCATCTCTGACACGTTGTAATTCGTGTTACTCGTGTGGCGTAGGGCTTAGCCCAACTTAGTCGGCACAGTTTATTCCGTGGCCAAACTGCCCAAACTCGCCCTGAGTTTGACTGAGGGTCAACTCGTTCATACGTGATGATTCACTATCATCACACCTACTCAGCCCGTAACCGAGGGTAATATGAGCAAGTAATGTTTTAAATGTATGCATAATCTATAAGGGGGCTTCAAATTACAACCTTCAATTTGTGATAGAAATTACAATAACCATGCCGTTGTCTTTTAACTTGTCAATATTGATAAGGATGTCAAGAGTGTTAAGCATATGACATTATGGGGCAGATGGACATAGTGACCTCATAATGACAATATAAGGATGGCTTAGCAACTTCACACATGCATGAAAGAGGAGCAGCGTTCTGTTATCCATTTTGTAACAAGTGAAGGGGTGAAGCCTATATAGATTTATTGGCGTAGGACGGTCTAGTATGGTGATGCATGCCTGTCAGCCAACACCAAAGCTGTCATACAGGTGTATCCAAACCCATAAAGGCCAGAAAAATGGCTTTCTCAGGTGAGAGGGTTAAATCACCACTAATTACTGGCATTATGAGGGCTAACAAACTGCACCGGTTAGGGCATATTGAGAGACAGCAAATAACTTAGGGACAAATACTGGTTTCACAAAATAGTTTTATGAGAGTAGACCATGATATAGACCAAGAAGACGGAGATAATAATATTTAAGCAGACCTCTAAACACATGAAGTCACCAACTGGAAAAAAAAGGCCAATCACAGAGAAGAATAGAGAAGAGGCAGGTGTTGACCAGTACAAAAGTGCAGACAAGACAATAAAGATCAATGTTTCTGTCCCAAGGAGCAAACCATGCCTGGCTGGATATATGCATGTGTATCAAACAATATCCTTTTTTTTTCATCTTACGTTAAGTCAAGGATCCACATGCCAGATTATCGGCTCTCAAAAATAATCTTTTATGGTGAAACAGAAGAAGGCGGGCACTCTCAGGGTGGCCGGGAAAAAACCAACGCTTTAAGAACATGCTAAAACAGTATTTCCCAACCTTTCTCGTGCCACACCTCACCGATGCCTTTCTAAAATTCTTATGCTCCCCATGTAACTTAAACTCTGGACAAGTCCATTTTTTAATAACCCCCCCCCCCCCACAATGAAACTGATTCCCCCCCCCCCCCCCCAAAAAAAAATTTACAACCCCCCCCCCCCCCCCCCCCCCCCATGGGGCATGAGCCCCGCATTGGAAACACTGTGCTAAAGGTATAGCTTAAAGCCTTAAATATAAACCCTGCCACTTGAAAGGTTGCTGCACAAGACTGGACTACACAGTGAACATCTATCTTTTATAGGTCTAGTGACTTGCGAGGCACCTAGAAAAAAAAATGTCAGCTAAACAGCAAAGACAAGCTAGAAAAACCCGTATAACAGGCACTTCATCTACAGATAGTGTTCCCTGTCCTTGATCTCCTTGGGCCCGTATTGGGCTAATAAGTCATCTCTGGACTCACAGACAATCAACTATAGATACATGACAGAATAAAGAATGTGTGGTCGTCATCACTTGTGATGGATGAACAATAGGTCAAGGATCCTATAGAATCCTGATAGTATATGATTTAAATAAGAGTTGTGTATTTGGTCCCTGTAGAAGTAGTACACCTATGCATTTAAAAAATAAAAATTAGTATTTCATGAAGCTTTAAGAATTACCGTCTCGGACTCAAGAGAGTTGAGAATGAAAATACTTGAGGCAGAGAAATTGGCAACATAGAGTCTTTCCAGCATGCCATAATGGGAGTGCAACTCTGCAAAGGATCTGCAATGATGACGGTCAATTTAAAAGCTTCCCATGTGGGTTCCCAGTACCTATTATAGGGGAAAAATAATAATAGACCCACTGCCTACCAAAAGCATGTCATAAGAGTCGACTAATTGGGAGCTTCCTTCAAAGCCATTGTGCATCTGCCTGAGAGACAAGGAACCAGCAGTCTGCATACAAATGAGTCAGATCTGTAAAACCGATGCACATGCAACACTTAGGATTCTGGAACAGGACTGCAGTCCAAAAGTAGATGAACAACCAAAACTTTCCACCAGAGTTTACAGTTAGTAAACGCGAAGAAGAAGAAGAATTTAAAAGCTTTATACAGGGGGCTTTAGATTAAAACCTTAAAAGTGTTTCAGTTTAGTCGATTCAAGAATCAACATCACAGCACTCAGGGCATTCCCATAAGCGCTCATCCCCCATCTTCAGCAGCCAGCACAGTTCCAATACCAATGGTGCCAGTAGCAGTCTGATTATATGTCGCTCGTGCTTTTCCTCTGAGTGTTGGGTATCGACCAGAACCCCTCACCACTCCTTGCTGCCAACCTCTCACCAGACTGTGATGATCCACTTGCTCCTCTAAACTGCATAATACCCCCATGAGGCCATAACCAACTATGCCCTATCAGGCATCAAAATGACACCAAGTTGTGCAGAGACAGTCAGTCTGTCTGCCTGTTAATTTCCCAACACTTGAGGCGGACACCATGCATCAAGACCATGCAGCTCCCCCTCATTTTGTGAGAATTTAGTGGAGAAGTGAAAATGTTCCCTAATTCATCATCATCATGTGTCTGCCAATAAGCTTAGGTGGTCATGTTTCACTATATCACATGATCACCAGAATCTTGGATCAGGTCAATGTTCATGCTTCTCCTCATCCATATGGCAATGCCATCCAATTACTTATCTCTTTGCTTTTACCTTGCTCTTTTACCATCAATTTTGCCATTCACCATTTTGTGTCCATGCCTTCACATAATATAATTTCTCTAAAGGGGCCAAAAAAATAACAAGCGTTGTGTATTCGGCCCAAATTATCTGACCTTCTGCCAGAATTCACAGCTGGTAAATGAAGACGAAAAATAAGAAGTGTATTCGTCCCTGATGAAGCTACACACCTATTATTTTGTAGTTGTCAATAAGGCCTTTGACCGGCATTATCTACGATCTGCTGGCACCAAAAGAGTTAAGCACATATTCATATATACATGCTCACCTTGTTGGATAAACTTGAGACACAGTCCTAGAGATGGGAGACCATGTGGAAACAGCTCACACAGCACAGAGTAGTGATCATATCTAAGGAGGACCATATGAGGCTGTTTATTTGTGCAATGAATAATCTAAAACAGGTAAACTAAATACAGGGTCTCCTCAGCTTAAGTCAGAGTTCTATTCTGGCCAAATACAAGGTCTTCTCAACTTAAGATAGAGTTCTATTCTGACCAAATACAGGGTTACCTCAATTTAAGTCAGAGTTCTATTTTGACCAAATACAGGGTCTTCTCAGCTCAAGTCTGAGTTCTACTCTGATAAATTACAAGGTCTCCTGAACTTAAGTCAATTCTGACCAAATACAAGGTCTCCTCAACTTAAGACCAAGTTCTATTTTGACCAAATGCAGGGTATCTTTAACTTAAGACCAAGTTTTATTCTGACTAACAGGTTGTAAGTGGAATTTATATTTTTCCACATAATTTTTATTCATAAGTGTTATAAAGCTGTATATAACATGCAAACATTCTATCTATGCATGTGTAATTAGACTGCTGCATGCAAGGCACCAGTTCCGGGACTTTCTGACCATACCAATGTAGTTATTTGTCTTTTTTAATTATCTGTATTTACAATTTTTTTTTTGGGTCATAAATGTGGATGGTCGTAAATTGCATGGGTCGTAATTCGAGGAGAACAGCAGAACTGGTACAGGCTAAGCCACAATAAATCATCATTATCATCATCATCATCAAAATGTTGTCATCAGCATCAAGTGCAAAATCATGTGTGTACATGTTTGCAAATATCTGAAAACAACCTGCTGTTCTTTATCAATCCAACTGATGATATCAATCCATTCCAATGATTTAACCATCGAGCATCACTGTCTGCCCCTGCCTTGTCTACCATTGATCTTTTCAGTTGTCTCATCTCATCAAATGTCTTCTGGCTGTCTAAGGTATTCAGAACATTTTGTCTCAGAAATCACATCATTCCCACCTCTGAGCCACAATGTAGACTGAATGTAAAAAAAAAAAAAATCTGCCTCAGACCTTCAGGCCAGCAGGCAATCATATAGCTGCTACACTACCACAGCATGCTCTGTGGCATAAAGAGGTAAGTAGACTGAATGTAACACCTTATTCATTCCTTATCTTCTTCTTCTTCTTCTATTTCAGCATTCTGAGCCCTTGAAGTTCACTGCTGCAGATTTCACCTGCCTCCATTCATCTCTCTGGTTGGCCTTTTTTTTTCAGTTGGTGACACCAAATGTTTGCAGGTTTGTCTGGATATTATCTCTCCATCGTCTTATTGGTCTGCCTCATGGTGTCATTCCTTATGGCATACTGATTATATCGTTACCATTGTCCTGTGCAATTATTTCAATATCATGGATATAATCCAATCGAGCACCTTTGGTCTCTCTCATGAACATTTATTTGTGGTTTCTTTTGGGCGTCCTTGCTCCCTCAGTCCCTGTATTTCCAATTTTAGTGTCTGTTCAATGATTTCTCTGCTCATTTATTCTCAGGACGTGCGTTGTCACCAATGGTTGCCCAAAAATTTCTCTTATTTTTTCATATTTCTAGCACAGTTGCCATAAACTATGAAGATAAGAATTTTGATTTTTGATTTTTGCCTTACCAAGGATGAACCTCAGTCCCCCATGTGAGAGCCAGTGCTGTAACCAACTGGCCAGATGCTCCTCACAAACAATTTACAGTTTTAAACAAATTTACACCCAAAAAAAAAATTTAAGACCACTCTACCATTTCATTTGGAACCAAATCACCCGACTACTACATACAAGCTAAGAATTTTTTTAAATTTCAATAATTACCTCTGCCAACCTGTAAGTGCAATCCCTTTGATGCTCTTGAACTTATGTTTCATCACACGCAGAGCGTCCAACCAGGCACCATGATTATCCAGATGGTAGCGGATATTTGTGATGGCAGTGCGAGGTCCTGTAGCCCCTTTGAAAGCACTGGCTATCCAAATGTTGGGAAACACAGCGCTCAGATTGTTCCAGATATCTTAAAATTAATGAAGGTAATGGTATCAAAAAAGGTTTTCAGTAACTGAAACTATCTGGTGAAATACTTTATTCCATTTTTAAAATGTGCCTTTAACTGTCTATTGTGGATTATACATATATAGTGGTGGCATACTGACTTGTATGCTTGCTTGTCAAGACAATAATCCCCAAATCCAAACTAAGTTATGGTAGATTTAATTTTTCTGGCTTAGAGGTTGAGCTAGCCTCATACATAGTCTGGCAATTAATAATTAGACTGACATTATTATGGTCAAGATAAAAAAAATACCATACAATAAAGCAATATTCATCTAAAATCTGAAAAAACTGTAATGCTGCCTAGTCAGCAAATAATAAATAATAATACTTCAGTGGTGGGAGCTGCCACGGCGTAGCGGCTAGATGCTCACGTGGGGATCGGAAGGTCCTAGGTTCGCTCTCTGGTAGAGCCGGACTTTTTTCAAAAATGGCCTTGACTCCCAGGTTGACCCAGCATTGAGTGGGTACTGGCTGCAGTCCCGGGAAGTTAAGGCGGCCAGCGTGATGCTGACCACATCACCCATATTGTGCCGATTGGTCTATAAAATATAGGTCTAGACCTATTTGCCTAAAGGCGTGGAAAAGGGAGCTTTACTTTTACTTAGTTCAGTGGTCTGGACATGTATCAAGACTACCACCAGACAATGCACCACAGAGAGCCCTGACACTTGGACATAACGGAAGCAGAGCCAAAGGTTGACCACACAAGCAATGGATGGATGAAATAGCTGAGACTAAATATGAGCATCTATGTAGCACAATGAATGTAAAATTGTGGCAACATAGATAAAATGCCTTAAATGAGCTGCAGGAGTTTCAAGGAAAGAAAGAATACAAAATCACGAAATAGACGAATGCTAGGAATAAAGACAGTCTTACAGGTCATCAAATAACAACAAATGAAGTGGTTTGGACACCTAACAAGAATGTCCTGGTACTGCCACAGCGAGCCACACTAAAATGTTACAAGGGGTATAGAACGAGTGGAAGACTTAAGAAAAGATGGAGTGATGCCTTACAGAAATGAACATCAGTCTTAATAGTGCTCTTGACAGAGCTCATCAAGGAATGTTACATCTCCCCCCAAACTTTGATGAGGTACAAGGTGGATGAGAAGAAGAAGAAGATGTAGCACATACTAAGGCTCTCAACCATTGCCTGATCAAAACCTGACGCTGAAAGGCAATTCAAGACTAGAGAAGAAGAAGAAGTTTGCTGCTGCTTATCGAACATTTTTATGCTTGTATCAGACTTGGTAAACAGGCTTCAATAATTGCAACAGGTAGCATACGCTCTGAATGGGTAAAAAACATTTTAAAATGGCACTTAACCTTCATCACCTGGTTCTGTATACCTGGTCATGCCAGCGTGAAATGTAATAAGCGAGTGGACCAACTGGCAAGCAATGCACCAAAGAATGTGGGAAGAAGCATGGATAAAACTGATATCATCAACCCAGTATGGACAGGGCTGGTGGATAATGATGAATCTCTTACACTAACATGACTGTGTGACCTAGGAGTACAGCATGGTGAAGCACGTCTATGCCGCCTTCAAGGCTAAGATAGGACACTATAATCAACTTCTCAATGGAAAAATCAGTAGAGGTACCCTTGGATGGCTGCTGCATCAAAGTACTGGGTAGGCATGGGAATTTCCAGTGTATAGTGATGTTGATAGTCTAATACTTATACCATTGTATTGCAGCTGACCTTAAACCCCGGTATGTCAGAATTATGAAATTGCATTTATAACCCCTCAACCACAGGCACTGACTGTGGCAAAATGACTGCAATCAAACAAAGGACTAACCTGGAGGAAGCACAAAGTTCGGCAGGTAATGCCACACCATTGGTTCCACCAGCTTTCCTAATCCACAGTCTGCAAAACACATTAGAAGCACCATAGACAAAGCATGTAAAAGTACAAGTCATTATTGGTTTCTGTTATATTACATTAGTTCAAAAGCCCTGATTTTTGTTTTCTTCAGTATTGCAAAAAGTCCAGGATTGATATTCATGCTGAAAAGAAGAAGGGTCTCAGTGGCGATTGGGTCAAGCTGCTTGACTCGTGCTCTGAAGGCCGTGGGTTCGTTTCACAGCTGCGTTGTTCACTTTATGAGTTCAATTTGTATAGAGATCCTTGGGGATAGTTGCTAGAGCTGAGCTACGGAAATCATGCTCTGTGCGATGCTTTCAGCAGGCGGCTAGTTGTTCTGAGGAGAGAGATAGAGATATATTGGACAAAACCCGGTGCAATGAAGTCAAATCTTTCTACTTTAATCTTTAACCTTTATGGTGAAAAGAAAAGATGAATGTGCCAGATAAGATAAAACAAACAAGCTGGTAGGATAGCTTTTGGAGTGTGTCTTATGTGGAAAACAGATGAGTAATAGACTGGGCTGATATGATACTGAATTCCCTCAAGTTAATGAGGTGATTAAATAAATCAATAGATGTTTGTGAATCTGCAACCTTCAGTAGACTGCAAGAGTTGGAAGTATAAATAAATAAATTAAAAAAAAAAAAAAAGAAAGGTTGCAGTCAAGAGGTTCAATGTCACTGCACTGGGTTTTATTCCACTGGTCTCTCTCCGCAGAACGGCTAGCCACCTGCCGAGAGCGCCAAACAGTGCACGAACTCTGTAGCTTCGACGATGATCCCCGGGGATCTATGTTAGTAAACCAACGCAGAACTGGTTTTACTAGCCATTTAAAACTGAGTGATATATATATATATATATATCTACATATATATATCTACATATATATATATATATATATATATATATATATAGGGAAGAACCAATGCACATTAAACTCGAATGACACAATTTACCTTGAAGATTCATGAAGAAGCTAATATTACACAAGAGACCAAATCACAAAACATGGGACCCATAACATCATAAATCACAATAAACGAAACCAATAACATAATAAATCACAAAATTGAGACCAACAACACAAGAAATCATAATATAAACAAGCAGATCAACAATACTTAAAAAGACAAAAACAAAAATGAAACAATAACACATAAATCAGATAACAGTAGACCAATAACATTGTAAACCACACCCAAGATACAAAAAATGACTACCTAAGATCACTGGCAGCTCTGAATATCGGAACATATCATCCCACATAATTGTAGTGACACTGGGATATGTATTCTGTATGTGAGTGGCCACCTTATGCACGTGGGAGAAAAACAGCTGATCTTTGCCTATAGACTCCTGCATCATCCGATGTTTACAAGCCTCACAGATGCCTAGGTGGTAGACCTTTTGATATAAAATGATAGGAAATTGTCAAAATTATCATACAGAATACATGAAATTAAGAAGGCTGAAGTAATGAGAGAAGACAACTGTATGAACAGCAATATGTGAACATTAAACAACAACAACAACAAAGTGCTGTGCTGTCACCATAATGAAGGTTGGCCACAGTGTACCAGCGTTGTCTTTGGGAATATTAAGTTATAAGGCCCCATTTAGGCGTAAAGGGCATATAGGGCTAGACCTAATTTTTATAGACCAATCGGCACAAGATGGGTGATGTGGTCAGCATCACGCCGACCACCTTTACTTTCCGGGGACTGCACCCAGTACCCACTCAAGGCTGGGTGACCTGGGAGTGCTGGACTAGATTCCACACATAATACATGAAATGTTGTAAGGTAGATAGATAGATTCTTTAACTACTCTTTCTGATCCAACTAACCTCGTCACAGCCAATGTGGAAGTACTTGATACCTGTATGCAGCCTCATTACTTGATCAATCATTGCAACTACCAGATGCAGTGATTCTTTAAAAGAAAGACAGAAGTACAGTTCCAGATATGATTAGTATTTATTTTGCATGTGGTTTCAAATCCAGTATTCCTCAATACAGATATAAATAACACTTATTATATACCATCAACTAAATTCAGAATTATTTCAACATAGATATAAATAACACTTATTATGTACCATCTATCAAATCCAGTATTCTAGCAACAAAGACATAACTATGTACAATCTAAAAAATCCAGTATTCTATCAACATAGACATAATTATGTACAATCTAACAAATCCAGTATTCTATCAGCATAGACATAATTATGTACAATCTATCAAATCCAGTATTCTAGCAACACTGCTAAATAACTATTATTATGTACCAACTATTAAATCCAGTATTATATCAACACAGACATATATAACTATTATTAGTTAAAATGTTCTAAATCCAGTATTATAATATAGGTATTGATAACATGTATGTACAATCTATTAAATCCTGTTTTCTATCAACATTTCTCAGGCTGTGGTATTAGAATTTTAATTTTGCAGCCATTTTGGCAAGATATATAGGGAAAGATAAAAAGTGGTGGGCGTAGGGGGAGTGTGAGGGGGAAAAGAAAGGGATAAAGAAAGGGGAAAGTGGGATGTGAGAAAATGGGGGAGGTGGGGGGAGAGAGGAAAAAAAGATCAAACGGGGGCAAGAGGTGAAATAGACAATGAGAGAGAAAAGAAAAATAGGGAAGGAGGATATGACCTGGCATAGATAATGAGCTAAAAAGAAGGAGAGAGAAAGAAAAGGAGAACAGATAATGAAACTGGTGGGAGGGGGGGGGGGAGGGGGGAGGGATAACTGAGAAGGAGACAGAAAAATAGGTGGAGAGTAAAAGGGAGAAAAGGAGACAGAAAAATAAGTGGAGAGTGAGAGGGAGAAAAAAAGGTGGAGAATGAGAAGGAGAAAAGGAGGAGACAGAAAATAGGTGGAGAGTGAGAGAGAGAAACGAGGATTAGAAAAAATGAGGAGGCATGAGCAGAGATATGTCTTTTGCACGTACACAAAAGTTTTATCTCAACCAACGTAAAGAATGGTGTGTTGCTTCAACAGACACTTCAACAGCAGAGGCTGCTTCATGCCCAAATTACCTGGATTGGATGGACATAACGCCATGGGATATTTTGCAATCTCCCTCAGATGGGCAAGTGGTTCATGCTTCAGAACAAACTGGGAAGGAGAAAACAAATCAGGTAAAAAAAAAAAAAAAGACAAAATATTCCTGCCCATATGTTCCTCTTTCTTCTTCTGCTGTCATCTCACTGATACCAGGTTGTAGCTCAGTGTCGTGGTTTTTATGCATTTGCCTTATGCTTCTCCGGTGGCTTGGGTGATGGATTTGTTTACCTTTGGCAGGTTTTAGCTACACCATTTATCCATCTCCTTCTTGGTCTTTCTCTCGCCTTCCTCCCAGATGTTCTGCTGTAAAAAAAAGTCTCACATGCAGTTTGTTCTTGCTACATTCTCACAAGATGGCTAAACCATTTTATTCTTTGTCTGTCAATTTCAAGTTTTTAAATAATATTAACAAAAAGTTAATTTAATAGTTGTCAAATTTTTTAATATTATTACATTAACTCTTTTAATACTAGAGACATCACTATATGTTTATTGGTTATTTTATTTATATAAAAGAAAAAAAGCAAAGGACTCGTCTGAAAATCAACATTTGATTCCAAACTGTTCAAAACAGTATTTTTACCAACGCTCTGCTATCAATATCAAACTAGGACACTGTCTTCAGAAGTCTGAAGGAAAATAGTCATGACAAAAATGAAATGTTTACGTATTATGCTGGGTGTAATGAGGAAAGATCGACTTGGGAATGATATTAGGAGGAGAGTCGGCACAGAACCAATACTAAAGTTTATTGGTAGACATTAAATCACATGGTTTGGCAATGTAAAAAGACTGGCTTTAGACAGGGCACCACAGACAGCGATGTTATTCAGAAACAACGTTAACAGATCCAGAGGTCAACCACGCAAAATATGGACCGCAGAAATATCAGAAACACTGAAAAATACTTTATATGAAGTGAACAGAAGGGCCCGTTCCAGAGATCTCTTCCTGCAATGACGTCGCGAGGCATTCCAAGAGTAGAGGAAAGAAGAAGACGAGAAGATGCTAAACTCATGTTTTTGTTGACCAGTCAGCACTCAATAAGTGATGTGGTTAACATCATGCCGGCTAAATTAACTTGCCAGCACTTTACCTCATATCCGTTTTAGGCTGGGTCAACCGGCAATCCAAGATAATTTTTTTAAAAATCAAAATCTGACTCAATGCCTATATGTGCCCTCTATGGCCTCCAGGACAGCAGGCATATAGCTACATCACAGAAAAGGGATGAACGGCCAATCTTACGCTAATATGACTGCGTGACAGAAAGAGTTGAGCTTGGTAAAGCACGCCTATGTTGTCTTTGATGTAAAGACAGGAGATACTATAACCATTGCCCCATGGGAGCAATCAGCAGGGGAACCCTGGAGTAGCTGCTGTTCTCTGGGGACTGAGCACACACAGGGATACCGAATGAGCAAAGATGTAGATTGTGATAACATAAATTGTTTTACATTTTTTAAATTTAACATAGTACAGGTTTATTTTCTCTTTCTGTTGCACTGTCCCTTGTATAAGTGTTTGTTTTACCAAGAATGTTATAAGCTAACCAGATGCTGGTTTTGTTAGCATAGCAAGGAATCATCCATACATACTGCTACTGCTTAAGTATTTTAGAGTGTGCCGACTGTATGTGTGTGAACATGCCCGGCTCCCTAGCGTAGTTGGTTAAACCTGACTTTGCGGCAACCGGGTGACAAACTCCTTGTGGTCCGGGTTCACTTCTAGGGATAGGCAGAAAAGCCACATTTCTCCCAGCTTTACTGTATCTATCATGGAATCAAGGCTGAAGGGTTGCGATATCCATAGTACCGAGCTCATGGTTTCTGGATATTTAAAAAAAAAAAGTGAGTGTAGATATTCAGACCAACGTCGCACTCCCTATAAACTTCATACATGGTGGGAATATCTCTTGCGGTAAAAATTCTACTACTGACTATCAATTAATCACCGCACTCTAAGCGAACTTACAGAGGTAAAGTTACATTGAAAGTATTAAGCTTTGGTTGGTAAAACACTTCTGGAAAATTTTTTATTTTTACATTGTATTAAGCTTTGGCTGGTTAAAAAAAAACCTTCTGGACAATTCTACATTTATGGAATAGGTGAGGAATAATTAACAAAATATTTGTCTTTTCATAACTTATTTGTAGCCCGACCATAAAAAGTAACAAAGTAAAATTAACAATAATATACAGTAAGTTACACAAACTTGACAACAGCCAGTGCCAGCCAGTGTGCACTGCATTTTAAATTATTCCTCCCTGAGTTATGATGACAATGATAACAAAAGCTTTAAAGAAATGACTTAACCTATAATAGATAAGTAATGAGAAAATAAATTTATAAAAAAAATGGTAAAAAGAAGCTAATAATTGAAGAAAGATGATATAAATGTATACACAAAGAGGTTTGATGGCAACATTACATATAACTCTTAATACCTCCAAGTGTCCAAATGTCTGCACCAAAGGAATCACCTCCAGCTCAAAATCTTCAGCATTTTTCAATATTTGTCGAAGATCATCCTCACTGAAGATAACAGACAAAAATAATCCAATGACGGACAATGTCAAAAGTGCTGAAAGTTAAAGCATTTTGTATATATAATGATACAGCATCATGAAGCTAAGGGATTGTCTTTTTCATTCTTGTGGTTCTCCTCTGTTTTTTCTTCATTCTTCACATTTTTAAATAATTATTTTCTGTACTACTTCATGTTTGTGTCCGCATAAGCCCACTTCTCGCGAATTTTTGGGCTTTCATTCATAGGCCGTGACCTTTCCCACAGGCTGCTGTATCGTCTAGGGGTGCCAGGATACTGTGTGGAATATCGTTTGAGGCCTGACACAGCGGCTTTGTGTATGACTTTTTCATGGCTGGCGAGTGACAGAGTGGTTATTTCACCCTTCTTGTACTTTGTTTTTTTCTGTGTGGGGCTAAGTTTTCGACAAACTGTCCATGTCTGTGTGAACTGCGTGTCTTCAGCAAATGTCTGTGTGTTGAGAATTGGTGGCATTTTGGGGGCGGTCATAAAAAAGACCATCTGGATGGGGGGTATGCTTAAGGTTAGGTAGTTAGGGTTAGGATTAGTGGTTTTCTCATCTATAAGACTCAAAACAAAACTCTGCCCATCATTTTCAAAATAAAAAGCAATAAACTCAAATGAAAACTAAAATAACCAACATCTTGGAGGTGGGGGGGGGGGGGCCTTGGGCAATCAAAGAGAAGACGATGTGACACCCCTAAAAGATAAAGCGGCATGTGGGAAAGGTCATGGCCCATGAATGGAGGCCCAAGAAAGGCTTTTGCGGACACAATTGTGAGTTGTACCTCATTTTCTTCTTCTTCAACATTCTGAACCCTTGAGGTTCAATGCTGGGGATATCATCCACCTCCGTTTATCTCTGTGAATGGCCTTCTCTTTCCAGCTGGTAAATCCAAGTATCTGCAAGTCTACCTGTATATTATCTCTCTAAAATCTTCTTGGTCTGCCTCATGGTCTACTCTCATTCAACTCTTCTGTATATGCTGTCTGTTAGCTGCCTTTCTCTCTATATGTCCCAACCATCACAGTCTATTAGCCCTCATGATGCAAGCAGTTAGTGGTGATTTAAACAGATCATTTCATTAGTCAGTTTTTGAAGTGCTGTCATGTCAGTTTTTCTACTCAGCTCAACAGATTAGTAGATAAACAAAGCTGATAAATAACTGAAAATGTGCGAAATACGCAATAAAGAAAGCAACCGAAAACAACATCAGAAAGTATATCAATACTAGCACACACACACACACAAAAGGGGGGGGGGAGAACAGAAAAAATACAGAGAGAGAGAGAGAACGAGAGAGAGAGAGAGAGAGAGAGAGAGAGAGAGAGAGAGAGAGAGAGAGAGAGAGAGAGAGAGAGAGAGAGAGAGAGAGAGAGAGAGAGAGAGAGAGAGAGAGAAGATCGGAACATCAAGAAAGATTGCTTCGGAAGCTGAAATATTTGGGTCATATCAAGCTTCATGGAGAATTGGAAAAAAAACAATAGCAGAAGGCATGGTACCAGGAAGCAGAGGCAGAAGCTGACCAACACAGAGATGGGCCCAGGATATAAGTGACTCCTTGAATATGAAAGTACATGAGGTGAAACAGCTGGTGAGAGACTGGGTGCTTTACTTATATCCTACCCCAAACAGGGAAAATCCACAGGTCACGGAACAGTCTAATATTTCAGGGGGTGGTAGATTGGCTGCATGCAGTCATGGGACCTAGGCTGCATGCAGTCGTGGGACCTAGGCTGCACTCTTTTGTGGGACAGGTGGGTTGGGGTTAGAGTCAGTTCTAGATATTTTCGGGTCGTTAAAAGCATCAGAAAACCTGGAAACCCAGTCTTACCCCGCTCTAAAATGTTGAAATGTCATGTGACATCATCTGGGGTAAGATATTAATAAAGAACCAGAGACTGAGTTTCTTTCAGGTAGACAGTGATGAAAGAGACACTCTGCAAAAAACCCGCTACATGATGATGATAATACTTAGCAACACAAAAATCTGGTACCTGTAAGCATGGGCAGCTCTTAACACCCTCAAGTCTTCAGAATATGGAAAGGTATCTTCATACTCAATGAGCAAACCTGTAGCACCCCAGGATTTTAGCAAAGGGAACACCTGTGAACAAAAAGTAAAGAGAACAAGGAAATATAATTATCTATATTTTAATGAAAGAGGCCATAGGTCATTATCCTCATGTACCCTGTTAAATGGCGTAAGCACTCATGCGTCTCCACAGAGCACGATACCTGGTTGCTTGGAACGGCTCTCTTGATGATATCCCACCACGTCATCGTTTCAGCCCATCCAGCATCGTCTCTATTGGTCTGCCTCTACCCCTTTTTCCACTGATCTGTCCAGTCGTCACGATGTTCTCTACTTTCATTAGCTTCTTTCAAGCAATCGTTGTCAGTTACTCTGGTCGCCCAAGGTATTCATAACATTTGTCTCAGAAACCACCATCTCTGTTGCTTCCAAATTCTTCACAATTTGCTCACTGACATTCCAAGATTCGCTGCCATACAGCAGAACAGGTTCTATATAACATTTAAGCACCCGGTAGGTAAAGAACTCTTTTCCCACCACAACAGGAATGTGATGTTAGACTCATTTTGTTATACACCAATTAGCACTCAATGAATGTGTGGTCAACATCATGTTGACAACCTTTACTCTCAAGGACATTATCTGGTCTCCACTATAGGCTGGGTCGATATGGCAGCCTAAGTAATAATTTTTTTAAAACCATTTCAATGTGGGTTCAAATTCAAGACCTTTGGGCAAGCCAACTCTGCTATGGCAGCTCCCGAAAAGCCCTATGGCCATCTCAGTATGTCTTCCCTCAATATCCACAACACACATTTTTTAAGTAAATCCCATTTTGACCGTACAGAAAAACACTGACGGAAAACGTAAATGTGCATAAGCAAAATGTTTATGTGGTTCATTAGCTAGCTGTTTACTATTCTGTCATTGTCTAAATCTTGTTTACTGCTGTGTGTGAGTGATTTATAATGAGTGCCAAAAAACAAATACTCCCGCCAGCTGCGTGCTGTGATCCATTTTTTGTTAGCAAAAAAACAACAGTGCAGCAGAAATTCACAGGCAACTCATTGAGGTTTATGGGCCAGATGTTATGACTGATAGCATGGTTAGGAAATGATGTGTAATGTTTAAAGAAGGTCGAACAAATATCCATGATAAAGATCATAGAGGTCAGCCAAGGTGACAGACAGTTTAGTAGCAGAAGTGAGCCAACAAATTCAGGAAAATTGTCGTTTAAAAATTTCTGCGTTTTCTGTCGAATTTTCACGAGTTTCACATTGACTGATTTATGACATTGTGACCAAAAAGTGATTACCACCTTTTCATGCAGCTAAAGAAGTGGCTGGCATCCCAGCGGTTTGAAACTGATGATTAACTGCGGACAGGCGTTAATGAATGGTTCAAGACACTGGCGGCAGACTTCTATGAAGTCTAGAATTAAAAACCTGGTGCCATGACACCAAAAATGTGTTGAAGTCGATGGTGACCACGCTGAGAAATAATGTAAATGTATGGTTCACTTTTAGCTGCAATAATTCATATTTTAAAGATGTTTTTTTTTAATTATTATTTCAAACCAGGACTTACTTAAAAAATGTGCCTTGTATATGTGTGTATGTATATATGTATATCTGTGTGTGTATGGTGAACGTAGGTATGTGGGTATGTATTTTGGAAGGATAGGTTGGATGTGTGTGTGTGTGTGTGTGTGTGTGTGTGCACGCAAATCAAGATGACGATGACGATCAATTAAACAGACGCTACCTAACAGAATGGGCAGTTGCTAGTGTGCTTGTTTGCTAGCCTGGTAGTTATGTGTTTAAAGTTCAATAAATCTGGGATTTCTGAGAAATTTACTAATGTGGGTATCAGAAAATGATAGTAAAGGTAACTGGTGTGATATGGTGTGATACTTTTACAAATAATAACATAATGAATATACTTACACATTATGCATACGAAAATAATTCAACCAACCTTTTCGAGGTATCCAACACTGAGAGGTGCTCCTTTCAAGTCTAGATGAACCAGCCTAGAGAACAAGCAGACAACAGAGAGAGAGAAGGTTATTGCTGAAATGATTAATCAGGGCAGTTTGGGGGGGGGGGGGGGGGGAAGGGGCAGGGAACACCCTTTCCCGACCAGTGGTGTTCATTATTTATGATACTAGACTCATATTTTAGACCAGCGTTTCTCAAAGTGGGTACCACCGCTCCCTTGGGGAAGGGGTCGCTGGGATAATCCGGGGGCGGTAGTGGCCTCAGACAAATTAGGGGGTGGGGGGAGGCAGGAATGGCTCAGGGGGGTGAGCGGTAGGTACAGGCTGGCTAAATATATGACAAATGTAAAGAGAAAGAAGTAGAAGAAAAAAGGAAAAGAATATTCTGATAAACTATTCGTGCCTGTTTGAATGTTGTGCAACAGACTAAAATCGCAGTAGTAATTTAATTTGAAATCAGGTCAATCCTTTTCACTAACATTACTTCAAATATAATTCTTGGTTTCTATTTTAATATTTACTGTCCCACACTTTCCCTACTGTGTGAAAGGTTGGCCTGAGCAGAAAATTCTGCAAGCAGAAGTTACTGACATTACGTATTCTTGGATTAGAGACTTCATGTATCGACTGGTTAGAGTTCTCATTCAACTCTTTTGTTTTTTGCAGTTCATAATCTCTCTTTTATTTGCTATTCTCTGCATCCACCCCTATCATTGTTGCCTATTAGCCTTCATGAAGCCAGTAATAATGTTCGTTTATAACTTATATAGATACTTATTATATCAAATCAGCCTAATATATTTCTCTTACTACATCAATCATTAAGTGCAGACTGATTTATAAATAAATGTTAAGTTAAAAGTTAGGTTGAAGACAAGAGGACTGACTTCCTTGCACTTGGTTTTATCCCAAAGTGCTTAGTCTCTCTCTGCACAACAGCTAGAGGCCTGATGAGAACATTATGAAATTAATCAAAGACCTCATAATGTGAGGTAAATGGTTTGACCACTTCACTATGTAGATCCCCATTTACACAACATGTAGAACCCCATTTACACAATATGGGGCTAGCAACATACATTCAATATGCATCGAGTAGTGGAAAGTGAGTATAAGTATATTTACACAAACAAATTATTTGGAAATATTACTTGGGGTGAATCCCCTTTTCCATCAATGTGGTGACTTAATCTCATAATACTATGTCTTCAAAGGCACATATGATAAGGCACACTTGGAAGATGGAGGATAGTAGGTGTATTACAGATATATAGAAGATGCCAAGATCAGCCTCTGCTATGAAATAATTATGTGTGCAAGGAGGACATGACTGACAGACAATACACGTACTGATGTAGATTCATTGGAAAACGAAACCATAGACTTTTGCATGGAGGGAGAAATCATCAGGAGTGGAGAACCGTGCTGTGAGGAGTTATCAGGGGATCTGACTGATACTCAACACTCAAGGGAAAGGCGAGATGGATATACAATGAGATTGTTACTGGTACTATCAGAACTGAAACTCTGCATTTGTTGCTGAAGATGGGAATGGAGCACTTATGGGAATGTCCCGAGTACTGTGATGTCAATTCTTAATTCAACATCTGAGAAAAAGCATTTTAAATACATGCAATGGTAACATTTATAAGGGCTCTAAAAATCCCATGCCCTCCATCATACACATTATTGAAATAATTTTAGAAATATGGAAGACTTTCCGGAGTGGATCTTGCTCTCCTTTAAATAACGGTCGCTAGCTGGAAGGCGACGGCCGCTTAGTCAGAGTTCACTCCCCTGGCTGCAGTGCAATTACGGAGTGGAAAACAGGGAACGAAACAAATGATATAGTTACCTGTCATCCTAGGGTTAGGCTTAGGGTTTGGGTTAAGATTTGGGGTAGGGTTAGGGTTTGGGGTAGGGTTAGGGTTTGGGTTAGGGTTTGGGGTAGGGTTAGGGTTTGGGGTAGGGTTAGGGTTTGGGGTAGGGTTATTGTTTGGGGTAGGGTTAGGGTAACACATCATGGAAACGATGGAAGCTTATCGCTCATTACGACATACAGATCCACAGGTCCCAGGTCTACGGTCACTAAGTCTTGCGTCGGAAGAACGCGGTCGCTAATTTTAGTCGCAGCGCGTGGTCTACGAGAGTCTTGTGTCGCAAGACCACGGTCGCTACTGTGAGTCGCAGTGCGTGGTCTAGCTCTAGCAGGCATGTCGACCTCACTTTGTTTTTTGATTCGTGACTTGTCCGCTCCGTAATTGCACTGCAGCCAGGGGAGTGAACTCCGACTAAGCGGCCGTCGCCTTCCAGTTAGCGACCGTTATTTAAAGGAGAGCCCATCATAGATTTGCAGCGATTTGTTCCTTAGCAGAAAGTCTGCATTTTACACACGACTGAGGCCCTGTTAGGCTATTTGCTTGGCCACCATAATATCGGGTAGAAGTTCGGATGAGAGCCTTTATAATTATTACTAGGCTAGTGAAAAAATGATGCCAAAAAAATGCCGGTACTGACTCAGTTGACTGTTCACTGTGTACCGTAAGAAAAAATGCACTGGCTATGCTATAGCACAATTTAACACTATTGTCTGGAAAGACGGAAAGGTGCCACAAGAAATTCACCTGGACTCTAAGTTGTACGGTGGCTCGTCAGCCATACTAGGCAGTACTTTACCATCCATTTACTCTAGGGGACCAGGTTATCAGAAGAGACGATCTTGTCTTGTTTACCAGAACTAGCTCGGTGATCCAGCGGAGTAGCGTCCCCTGGATAGGGGAGGCTACTTGGAATTGACCTTCTCAACTTGACAGTCGAAATGACAACAAAAGACGTCGACGTTGTGTAGCCCCGACTAATATTCATTATTACTATTTCGGAAAAAAACATATTTTTAACGTGAACACAATGAGTATTGTTGTTGGTAAATAATATATATTTATTTTCATTTCTCCCACACATTATACTAGTCACTGATATCAAGTACTCAAGTACGGTTTGCAATTGTCAGTCAATAGGGACCGTGGAGCGGTGCCACTGGTTTTGGGTACAGCGTCTGCTATGACTGCGGACTATCACGTTCTCCGTATGTGGGATGCAATGTTTTTGTTATTTGAAACCCCACCCTGGCTTCTTCCAGGGGCCCTGAATTTATCCGTGGCATAGATATAGCCTAACGGCTGAAAGGGACCTTTCCACGGGTGATCCTCACCCGCTTAGTGGCACTTTGCGTCACCGGGTGTTTATCGCCATGTGTGATGTCCTAATGGGGTAAAACTTACCTACGTGACTGTGCGGAAGTGGCAGTATTCTGTGGCTGGTCTTCTCTCATATGTCTCCTCTCTATAGCTTGCTGCACTTGGCCTCTTGCAAATTGCGTCTGTCCGTCTTCCACTGTCTGCTTCCATAGATGTCTACAGCTGATTTCTTTCAAGTGTCTGTGTCAGAGTGAGTATCCTTCATGTCGTGTTTGCATATATCCTTATAGCTCAGCCTTGGCATTTATGGAGATCTTTTCCCTGTTAGCAGTTCGCCAGTTCTTTGGAAAAAACCTTCCTCTATGCCAGAGACATGTCCCAACCAGCGCACATTGAGCAGTAGGTTACATGTGGTTGAACAAGGCATTTGGGATTTGCTACTGTTGTGTTTGCATCCAAAAAGTGGTTGTTTGAGTCAGTAGATGTCAGTCCTTTTAAACTACAAGTCCAGAGGGACAATAGTTTACATACACACAAAAGATATCCCATACCCACATAGGACAGTAGGGTCCCACCTTCCCTTCCCTTTTCCTATTTTTATGCAGTTGATTTGTCCCTCCGGTATTATCAGCTGGATAGTGACTCCTGGAGTCACTTAGTGTCAAACTGATAGGCTGCAGTCCTAGAGAATTTTTTTTATTTTTAATGGGGGGGGGGGGGGGGTTGGGATACAGGTTTGAGCACCTCCTGCTGTTGTCTGTCCGTGATTCTGTTTAAACAAGCTTGTCAGTTACTGTGCCAAATACCTAGCATCTACTCACCAGTAATAGTAAGACCTTCCAAGAAGAAGAATGTTGAATTAAGAATCGACATCATAGCACTCGGGAACACTTCAACAAACGCTCCATCCCCATCTTCAGCAGCAGTCGAAGAGTTCTAATTCTGATGGGCCCAGTAACTGTCTGATTGTCTATCCATCTCGCCTTTTCCTTGAGTGTTGAGTGTCCGCCAGATCCTCTGGTAACTCCTTGCAGCGCCATTCTCCTCAGACTCTAATGATCTGTCTGTACCCCCTCACAGTTCACTTGCTACCAAAAGGCCTTTACAACAACTAGCTTGTCATAGATCAATTCACACCAAGTGGTGCAGAACCAGCCATGTTATCTGTCTGCTCATTTCCCAACACACTGGCATGATGTGGAGAAAATATCCAAAGTATGCTAACTACCTGGGACCTCTGAAGTGATGGTTGTCACTCTTCAGGTACATATCTATCTCCACCTTTCTCAACATATCGTGTGAGTCAGTTACAATCAAGGCATGTGTGTACAGCTGACTCTCAAGCCAGCAGAAGGCAGCAGTGACTTCTCCAAGAAGAAGAACATTTGATTGCCTGATCTTTTTCCATGTATAGCTACTAATAATTTAATTTTAATTTTTAGAATGTATAAAATAGAAAGCCGTTTATTTCTGTAGTTTGACAGAAATAACCTGTAATACTCTGCTTACATGTTCCAGGTGGTGGAACTGGTTTTGTGGGTAAACATTTTGCAAAGCTCGGCATTAGCAAAGGCTTCAAAATCATCAATGTCTCACGGACAGCTAAGCCTAACTGCATCACCTGGGTATGAGTAAGCTTGTAATATTTATGTAAGCTTTCACTGAACTTACTTTCCTGAACTGAATATTGATTTTTCTTATTTAGTTTTAATTTTTTGTTTGATATGAAAGCATAGAAATTATATAACAAAATTATTCTTCTTGAAGTCATGCTGTGAGATGGTGGTTGTCATGTCTATCCACTACCTTCTGTCTCATGTACTTTCAATCAACTTTGACACAGATGATCCTCCATGCCAATATGTCAAACTGTACAGCATCTTTCATCTCAGTCTCCCTCTGCCTCTCTTCTCCTTCAACTTTCCTACTGTAACAATATATCCAGGTTTCTCCTTCTCAACACAGAATATAGATTGTCTCTTTCTGATATGAGCAGTCAGTTCTTTTCGTGAGTCAGTTTCTTTCAAGACATATTCATTACTCTTTTTATCTTTACAAGGATAAAAGAACAGTTACAGATCTTTTGTAATTCACTATAAATTAATTATCTTTTGCAATCTGGTTTTTTTAATTGTCTCTGATGGGATTAAATGTTCTTACAGACTTCCTTCTTGGTCAACATTATTTTCAATTATCTTTGAATGTGAGCTACATAAAGTGCCATACAAATTAATTGATATTAGCAATCTTATTACCATATTTTAGGTAAACCTGATTTTTGTTTTCTAAACTGATGTGGGAAAGGGAGTTCTTAAGAGCTGTGCGTAGCCAGCTCTGATGCATGGAACTGAATCACCAACAGTCAGCCAAGTAGCGAACAGTTATATGAAAACTGCAGAGAGGTGGATTTTCAGACGAATGATGAGAACATCATGGACAAATAAAAGGTGTAGCAAAGAAATGAACTCACAAAGACAGCTGATTGCCCTTTTTGGAAGAGGATCATCTCATTTTTTTTTTAAAGTCTGGTTCTGCCAGGACCTAAACCCACGACTTTCCGATTCAGAGGCTAGCGTCTGTCTGCTACACCGTGGGGGCTTCCACTGTGCTGGTTAGGATCTTTATATTGTCCCCTCCCCCCCTCCTTTTCCAGAAAAAATATATTGCAACCCTTATTAAGCAGCAAACCCAAGTCTCCCACATAAGAGTTTAGTGCTCCAATCTCTCAGGCAGCCGCTTTAAATGCAGTTATTTTGTTCCCCAGAACGATTTAAGCCGCAGTGGACTTCCAGATGACTGTGCGGCTGTTGTCAGCCTGTCAGGGGAACCAATCCTCCAGCCCTTCAAATGGTAAATATTAACATGATTAATGGCCATAGCTCATACTGCTGTAGGAATGTGAACAAGGCTTTTTATCCCCCCTGATGCCATGCAAAGGTGCACATTACAAGGCATTTGATAATGGTAATTTTAGTGTGCAAATATTAGTTTCTGTAGCAGTGGTTTCAGTGGTTCTCACTAGGGGAGCGTCTGACTGGAAGAACACAAGAGCATGCTTGCCAGGTTACAAGAAAGTGTCCCCCGGGGAGGTGTTATATCTCCTACCCTGTTTATTCTTTTCATCAGTGACCTGCCAAAACAGTTCAAGACTCACATTCACAAGGCCATACATGCATATAGAGCCAAGCTGAACATATAGGAACAACTAAAAGAAGAAAAAGAGGATGAAGAACATTAAACGACTGAACTGGTTAAGCACATCATGTGTGATAAACTTGTTCTCAAAAATCCTTAACATAGCGCAACATGTTCTATTACTTTTTTGTATTTGGTCATAGTATACTAAAGAAAAGCATTTGACTGTGTGAAACATGAAGAAGTAATCCAACTATTAGAAAAACTAAACATTGATGGAAAAGATCTACAAATAATAAAGTATATGTATTGGCAGCAAACAGCAGCTGTAGGAATTAACAACTGTTTAGGTACATTTCAGTGCATTAAGAGGGGCGTACGACAAGGATGTGTCCTATCACCTGTTTTATTTTCATTATACTCTGAATATATAATGGGATCTTTACTTGATATGCCCGGAATTGTCATTGGTGATCAAAATATAAACAATTTACTTCATGCTGATGACACAGTCTTGATAGCAACAAGTCAGAAAGAACTGCAGGAAATGATAGACATTGTGGTGGTAGAAAGTGGAAGAATGGGCCTTAGTTTGAATAATGGAAAGACAGAAGTAATGGTGGAATCAAAAAAAGAATTATTCCTAAATGTGTAATAAAAGTCAGTGGTGTTATTTTGGGACAAGTACAGAAATTTAAATATCTGGGCACATGGATAACATCAGGGAAGATGCATTACTGAGATAAGAAACAAAATATGACAGGCAAAAACTGCATTTTATAAAATGAAGAACATCTTAAGCAATATATCTCTGTCATTGAAGGTTAGAAAAAGAATTCTTGCTTGCTACATACATCCAGTTTTAACATATGGCTGTGAGTCCTGGACAATCAGTAGGCAGGCCAAACAATTTCTTGAGGCACCAGAGATGTGGTTTTACAGAAGAATGCTTAAAATACATTGGACAGCCAAAAAGAGCAACCAAGAGATTTTGAAAGAGGCGGGAGCCCGAAGACATTAGTACAGACATCAAAAGGAGACAGTCATCATTTTTGGCCATGTTATGAGAAGAGGAAAAATGGAACAAGTTGTGACCACTGGAAAGATCTGTGGAAAGAGGAAGACAACAAGAGACATGGAGGTGTGTCAGCACACAAACTGTAACATGCTGCAGGAGATGGCAGATTTCGGAGAAGCATCATAAACCACGCCAGTCGGCAAGGCACCTGGTGATGATGATGATACTAAAGAAATCTGGTATTCCTAGTTGCCCCTTTGAAATTTTGCTACTTACAATTTTTCATAGTGGTTTTTTTCTCTCTTTAAGCAACTACTGTGAAAAGTTCCGGGACTGAAAGAGGCAGAATAAATGATAATTCAACATACCTTACAAATTGAAGGTGGTAGTGTAGTGGCCAGATGCTCACCTACCTGCTGGCCTCAAGGTCTAGAGTTCAGATCTTTACTGAGGCAGATTTGTTTTATTATTATTGACCTTGACTTACAGGTATACTGAACCTAAAATGGCTACCAGGTAATTTCCTAGGAAGTAAAGGGGGCTGAGGTAATGTTGACTACATCATCTATCAAAGGTTGATTGGTCTATGAAGTCTAGCCTCATGTGCATTATTACACAAGTGGTATGTGAAATTTTTTTTTACATATTGTAACTTTTTGCTTGTAAAATACAAGACATATGTACATAATGGTCAATGTCATGTGTAACGTTCAGGTGGACTCCTGAAATGAAGCTGAAGATAAGGGAAAGCCGCATCGACAAAGTCAAGTTGTTGAACCAAGCTATTTGTGCGGCTCCAAAGCCTCCAGGAGTCTTTGTGTCAATATCAGGAGTTGGTAGGTGTATTATGTATATATTTTTTAAACAATGCATACTTTCACCTTTTTGTTTTATCGCCGGAGCTACGAAGTATGTACTGTGTGCTCAGCGTTGAAGTCACAGGTTAAATTCGAGATGACTGTATTGCGCAGGGTTTTAAACCAGATGGCTTAACTTCTCTCCTTAGAACAGTTAGCCGCCTGCCAAGAGCATTGCATAAAGCAAGAATGCCATAGCTTCAGCGATGATCCCTAGGGACTTTGTTAAAAATTGCACTCATAAGCTGTGCAATGCAGCTGTGAAACGAACCAACGACCTTCATAGCATGATAGAAATGGTTTGACCACTTCGCCACATGGATCCCCCTCTGTGCTGAGTATCAGTGGAGTGACCAAGAAATGTTGCTGACACTTTACTGCCAGAGGAAAGGCAAGATTGTTGCGGGTTCCTTGTTTCCTTTGTGTAAGTGTCAGTTTGAATCCCAACACTGCGCCTCCACGTAAGAAACTGAACTAGTGTCTGAGTTAAATAGATACCAGACAAATTTCTGATCCAAGAAAACAGCCATACTTCTTGATTGACATTTAACACCACAAGGACATCACACCGAGCGATAAACACCCAATTACACAAAGTGCCACCATTCGGACGAGGATCACCCTAGAAACAGGTCCCCGAAACCCTGTTCAACCGTTAGGTTATATTAGGGCTCCCGACCACAGCCAGGGTGGGGCTTTCAAGCAACAAAACATTGCATTCCATATTGAGATGTTTTCATACATGGAACACCAGCAGCATTTATCAGATAGAATGTGATACCTCTCTAGCAGCACCTGTGTGTGTTTTGAGATCCCTTGAAGCCAACATTTACTGTGTAGATCACATCTGATTGACTGATTGAGTGATGCTGTTAACAGAGTATTTACAAATATTGATGTTTTTTTGGCACTAGGGTATTACAAGCCTGATGCACACAAAGAATATACAGAAAGCGACATTGTGGAGCCGTTCGACTTTCTGTCAGAAGTAACCAGAGACTGGGAGGCAGCAGCAGTCCTGCCGTCTAATGTTAAAACAAGATTAGTCGTCGTAAGATCAGGTGAAGTTATAAATAGAATTATTTCTTTGTGGGCTCTCGCTCTAAGTTTAAGATTATTGGGGGTACCTCTGCCCCTTAACACATATATTATACAGGGTGCCTAATTAACTCTTTGAGTCCCAGAGGGTTTAGCATCACAGGCCCAATGGGTAGTAAAGAGAGACTAAAATCGACACATCATGCGTTCATTGGGCTTCTAGGTAAAAACTTATGAATGTATGATGCGTTCCCTGGGACTCAAAGAGTTAAGGGATTGCTGAAATTCATTGTGTTGCGCCAAAAAGCACATACAGCCTAGCTGTAAACTGCACCGCAACATGCCCAATGCCCTTTTAAGGGTAGAGGAAGAAAAGGAAGAAGAAGAAAAAGACTCAGAAAAAGCTTTTGCATTGCCAATTAGGGTCAGGGCTGGTTTAACCATTGTGCGAAGCATGTGCTTGGGCATCAGGGGAAATGGATTTTCTATACTTTATGCAACAAGTCTCTCTCATTGGACACAAGAAAAAAAGGCTAAAAGTAAAGATAGTCCCCCCATTCAAACAGTGCTACACACTACCTCACTTCTGATTGATTGACCTTTACCCTAGCTCACTTCTGATTGGTCAATCTTGAGCCACCCGACTTTCACACAAGGTGACGGGGTGTTCCCCAATGCTGTTGATATCGCGTCTTCTATATTTCAGCATTCCAGCGCCTTAAACACTACAAAAACATTGACAAACTGGGTCTAACACACACCTTTAGAGAGTGTTGAAACCTAAGTCACAGGCATTCTCTTTCTCAGAATAAAAACATAAATGCAAGACAAAACAGACAGCAAACAACAGAGCGGCACACTCGTAACCCCCAGCAGGAAAGACCAGTCCAAGAGAGCTATAATTGGCACGTGACCTACTTTCATTGGGGAGACTAAAGTTTGTTTAAATGAAAAAAAAAAGTATTGAAATCTTATGTTCAACCAGTGCTGCTGTTTGGCCAAAAATGCTTTGAATGTAAGTAAAGTAAAATAAAGGACCCCTTTCCGTGCCTTTCAGGCATTTTGGGTATCTAGGGCTAGACCTATATTTCATAGAGCAAATGTCACTTGGTGGGTGATGTGGTCAGCATCACGCCAGCCACCTTTACTTCCCAGGACTGTACCTGGTACCCACTCAAGGCTGGGTCTACCTGGGAGTCAAGGTCATTTTTGGAAAAAACTCTGTCCCTCATCATGAACCGAACCCATAACCTTCCGATCCACAGCTGAGCATCTAGGGGCTAGACCACTGCGGCTTCCTTGGAGTGTAAGTGAACAAATTAAAAAGAACTTGGAGGCCAGGCAGATGTGGTTTCTGAGATGCATGCTGTGAATACCATGGACAGACAGAGCGACTAACAACAACTACCTGGGATTTGCTAATGGAATTAGAAAACCATTTACAGCTATAAGAAAGAGCCAGTGTTCCTGGATCATGTGATGACGAGAAGAGAGGTATTGGAGAACATCTTGATGATTGGAAAGATCTACGGTAGAAGAGGCGGAGGCAGACCAGGAGAGAGATTATGCTTGATAGCGTTAAGTGATGCCATGGTGGAATTTCATCAGTGGAATTGATTCAAAATATCATTTATGTTTTTAAAGGAAAGAATCCAGGTTTCTTTTTGTGCATTAATCTGTGTACACGAAACTGCCATCCTCTTGAGGGATTATATTTTTCTTTATTTTAAAGCCCCAAGGGCCCTAATAATATAAACTAACGGGGTTTCAGGGACCTCTCCACTGATAATCTTCATCCGCAAGGTGGTACTTTGTGTCACCGGGTGTTTATCCCTGTGTGTGATGTCCTGGTGGGGTAAAAGTTACTTACTTGTGTATACATGTTAAATAAAAGCTTTTTTTTTATCAATTGTTTTAGGCGTCGTCCTAGGAAACGATGGTGGAATGGTGGCAAACATCAAAACACCATTTTATTTCGGTCTTGGTGGGCCTATTGGTTCAGGAAAACAGTGGTTGCCTTGGATATATGTTGAAGACACAGTTGGCATCATCATGCATGCAATAGAAAATGAACACATTACAGGTATTCTCAACGGCACGGCCCCTAACCCTGTCACAAGTGAGGAGTTTACTAAAGCTTATGCATCAGCTCTTCGTCGTCCACACCTGTTTCCAATGCCAGCCTTTGTGGCCAAGGCTGTGTTTGGTGCAGAGGCTGCTGGGGTGTTGTTGGAGGGCCAGAAAGTGTTGCCTAAGAGAACACTGGAGATGGGCTATACGTTTAAATACACAGACATCAAGTGGGTGTGTGAGAAGCTAGTCAGTTCTTAGTATTGTTTCAGTCTGTTTTCAGTGAAATTGTATTCTTCTTTCTCTTCTTCTTCTTCTTCATTCACTTTAAAAGTGCATATATATATATATATAGTATATATGCTTTATATGCCTAAAGGCGTGGACCCCAGATATCCAGCCTTTAGAAATGGAACTGGATATTAACTGAGATACCATTCAAAGAGGAAATTAGAAAAGCTATCAGTCTTCTCAAGGAAGGAAAGGTGGCAGGCCCAGATGGTATCCCAGCTGAAGCCATCAGGGCCAACATAAACACATCAACAGAATTGCTACATAGATTATTCAGTAAAGTCTGGGAGACTAAAGAAATACCAACAGACTAGAGAGAAGGATATCTTGTGAAACTGCCCAAAAAAGGTGATCTACAGGAGTGTGAAAACCATAGGGGAATTATGTTGATGTCAGTTCCTGGAAAAATATTAAGTAGAATTATTTTGCAAAGATTAAAAGATGCTATCGATAAAAAGCTAAGAGATGAACAGGCAGGTTTTCGGTCAAACAGATCCTGTACTGACCAGATAGCCACATTATGTATTATAATAGAGCAAAGCATTTAACTGAACTCACCACTTTACATTGAATTTATAGACTATGAAAAAGCATTTGACAGCAATGATAGGGAATCTCTCTGGAAATTGATAGGGCACTATGGAATCCCACAGAAAATTATTAACTTAGTAAAGGCAACATATAAAGACATGAAATGTCGAGTTCTTCATGAGGGAAAGCTAACAGATATATTTGAAATAAAAAACAGGTGTGCGACAGGGATGTCTTTTGTCGCTTCTCTTATATTTACTGGCTATAGACTGGATTATGACAACAGTAACTGCTAACACCAAGAATGGAATTCAGTGGACCCCTACAAAACAGCTTGATGATCTGGACTTTGCTGATGATATTTCTCTTCTGTCCCATTCACGGAATCAAATGCAAGATAAATATACTAGATGCGAGATCACAGCAGCTTGGTCTGAAAATCCATAAAGGAAAGACAAAGATAATGAGAATAAATCAGGCAAATAGTAATGTGGTTTTCCTTAATGGCACCCCACTCCAAGACGTGGAGTCGTACACCTATATTGGCAGTAATGTAGATAAAGATGGAGGAACTGATAGAGATATTAAAATAAGAATACAAAAGGCAAGAGGAGCTTTCATAGCACTAGGGAAATTAAAAGAAATCCTAAACTAACAATTTTTAATTCTAATGTCAAATCAGTACTTTTGTATGGGGCGGAAACATGGAAAACAACTAAGGCAGTTACTAATAAACTACAAACATTCATTAACTGAACAGCATAACTAGAATGTCTTTGCATTGGAACCCACAGGGGCATAGGAATAAAGGAAGGCAAAAAAAAACACACGGAGAAGAGAGCTGGAGAATGAAGTTAGAAAGATGGGTAAGACATGGGGAGAGCACCATGCAATGGCCAAGGATAGAACGACTTGGCGTGAGTTGGTTGAGGGCCTTTGCTCCTTTGGGGGATAGAAAGGCAGAAGAAGAAGACACACCAAGGCTCGCACCAGTTACATTTCCAAAACCTCATGTTGAAAGGCAGAGCAGGTTCTAGAGAATAAAGAAGAAGAAAAATGTCTTAGTGTTGGAAGAAGAATTATAATTATTATTTCTTTTGTGTGTTATGGGCCTTACTTTTTAGTTGTCTTTATTTTGGTTAACTTTTAAATATTACCTTTATGCTTTATATATTCTACTTTCATCATGAGAATCTCATTTAATGTTGAATGTTTAATTGAGAATCGACATCACAGCACTCCCATAAGTGCTCAGTCCTCATCTTCAGCAGCAAGTGAAGAGTTACATTTCCGATGGTACCAGTAACCTTATGATTGTATATCCGTCTCATCCTTCCCCTGAGCGTTGAGCGTCAGCCAAATGCCCTGGTAACCACCTGCACTGCCATTCTCTTTAGACCATAATGATCTATCGGTGCTTGATATCATATGCAAGGCTTTGCTGCATTAGGGGTCGTCCATTCACCTTTGCTATCAAACCTCATGCATTTTGAATGCCCCTCACCACAGAATCTAGTATAGCCTTTTTTAATTGGAAACAGTTTAATCCCCATTTCACGCCATCCCTAATCTTGTTTCAGTCCACGTTTTGGTGTTGCAGATATAAACATACACTTAGTTTGGTCCTTCATTTATTGGTGCCATAGTTGAGTTGAGACAAGAATTGACATCACAGCACTCCTGTATTCACATATGCGCTCCGTTCCCATCCTCAGCAACCAGCGCAGAATTACAATTCTAATGATGCCAGTCGTAGTCTGGTTGTATGTCCTTCTTGCCTTGCCTCTGAGCGTAGTGTGCCGGCTGAACCCTCTGGTCACATCAATCATTCTCTCTGGCCCCTAATAATCTAGTTTCTATCTGACTTCGTTACTTGTTCCCAAAGTGCTCTGATCACATCTGTCTTGTCATGTATCAATTCACCACCCAGTGTTGCAGATCTGGCCGGTCTGTCTGCCTGTTCATTCCCCACCGCTGTTGGTACCACATTATTTACCTGTGTAAGTTCCTGCAAGTTATGTCATTAAACTTTTGATTATTATTTTTTTTAAAGAAAGAACAAAAGAAAGAAACTGCAGCTACTGCCTGAAATTACCACTTTTGCTGGAGGTGAAAAGGGAAAAAGGGGGAGGGGGGGGGGGGGGGGTCTGAGAATTTACCAAAGAATTGAACCTGGGTAGAAAGCACTGAATTCCCAAACATTCGACCAGCCGCGCCTCAGTTATTGTTTGTGTTGTTTAAAGTTCATGTATAACATACTCAAAATGTTTGAATAAATAGTAATTGAATACAAATTTATCAGATTATTCAAGTTTCTCTATGTAATGTAATTCTGTGTGTACTTCCTATTGCTGAAAGAGTGTATAATTTTCACTTGTTCATTAACAGTTACTAATTAACTGCAGATATTCATTGACTAGGCCCTGTGTAACAAAGGCAAATGGATGTCGCCTAGTGCAGCAAAGCCTTGCATATGATATAACATTTAGTTTAAGAATGGGGGTAGAGGCAGTCTCTGTTGCCTTCTGCTGGCTTGAGAATCAGCTGTGCACAAATGCCGTGATTGTAACTGACTCACAGAGCATGCTAAGAAAGGTGAAAACAGGCATGCTTCATGCAGTGTGGCAAGCATCACTTCAGAGGACCTATGTAGTTAGTATCCTTTGGATATTTTCTCCAGGTTTTGGGAAATGAGCAGACAGATAGACTGGCTGGCTCTGCACCCCTTGGTGGTGAATTGATGTATGACAAGTTAGATATTGTGAGGGCCCCTTTGTGTGTGGAGGCACAGATAGATCATTACGGTCTAAGGAAAATGGCGCTGCAAGGAGTTACCAAGGGATTTGGCCGACGCTTAAGGATGAGACGGATATACAGACGGTTACTGGTACCATCGGAATTTGAACTCTTTGCTTGCTGCTGAAGATGGGGACTGAGCACTTATGGGAGTGTCCCGAGTGCTGTGATGTCCATTCCTAATTCAACATTCAACATTAAGGCCCTGTGCGACATAGAGGGAATCAAATGATAGAATCACTAATGTGGAGCTTTGGCAAATTCCAGTGAATTAAGAAGTGAAGAAAAGATGCTGGCATAGAATGTACACACGTTGATGAAACCTGAAAACAACAAAAAACCTGAATGTCCTTACGTTGACACCCACACAGAAGCATATAAGAAAAGGGACACTAACAAACAAAAACACACGGAGAAGAGAGCTGGAGTGTGATGTTATAAAGATGGAGAGGACAGAGCAAGGGCTGCTCGGAATAGCAAAGGATGAGATTAATTGGTTGAGGGCCTATTCTTCATTGGGGAATAAAAAACAAGAAGTACCAACCAACTCACCATGCTTAGTACTTCATCTTATAGACCATGGTAGTCTTGTCTGCTTACAACCTTCTACCTCGTGTACTTTTAATCACTTCTGACACAGACGATATTCCATTCCCTGATGTCAAACTGCCCAGCATCTTTCTGTCTCCATCTGCCTCTTTTCCTCTTCAAGTTTCCCACCATCGCCATGAACTCTGATGTTCTCTTTCACACGACATGACCAAAGTATGTTGATTGTCTCCTTCTGATGTGGATCTTCGTGAGTCAGTTTCTTTCAAGACTTCATTACTCTATTTTTTTTTTAAATCTGTCTAGGGCATTCTCGTTATTCATCTATAATTACTGGCTACTACTTACATACATTTTCTGTACATTGTGTTGCACTGGCTATTAGTACGTTTATATATGGTTGTGAAACATGGGCCTTAACAGCTGAACTGGAAAATAAGATACATGCATTGGAAATGCGATCTCTCAGATATCATACATAGACTACATCACAAATAACGAGGTTCGCCGTATCATTAATTACTCAACATTGGCAACTATGAACCTCTTTTAACAATAGTGAAAAGCCGAAAATGCAATGGTACAGTCAAGTAAGATGATCTAATGGCCTCTCAAAAACAATACTACCGGGCTCAGTAGAGGAGAAGAGCCAGATCAAGAAAGACCTAGATACAGAACTTGACTGACTGGGCAGACTTTAGGCATGCAACCATGGTCCAATGCATTTGACCGTCAAAGGTGGAAGGAGCTGATCAGTCAACAGCAACCGGTGAACCATCAACACACCAGTTGCGTGATGATGATGTGTGTTCCCCGTGTAACTTTTATAATATTTAATGACTTCCCAAATGTTACTTAAACACGTGTGCCCCATAATGTTACTATTTAAACCCGCCTGAAGCTAAACAATAATTACTGTATGATAAAAATACTCCAGGATCAGTGAGTTGAAGTGATACCTCGTAGAGACTGAAGAGTTAATATTTGAACAAAGAAGACACGAACAATAGATTGCACAATTTTTTGCCTGGCATATTTCGCTGTATCTTGTCAGGGGCATACTACACTGACATTTAGATAAATAAAGCAGATAA